CCCCCTTGCCCTTCCTCCTCCTCCTCCTCCTCCTCCTCGGCCCCTCTGCCTTGGCCCCCCTTTGAAGGCCGGCCTCCCTTTCAGCCCTCGTCCTCCCCTTTCCCAGGCCAGGGACAAAAGCCACTCCTCAGAGTGGGAAGGGGCTCCAAAGGCCATCCAGCCCAACCCCCTTTTGGATGCAAAGGCACCATCTGATCCTTCCCGACAGATGGCCATACAAACCCTGCTTAAAGGCCTCTAGGGAAGGTGACACCGCTATAGTCCAAATCCTAGCACTGATAGGGGACCCCAAAGGCCATCCAGCCCAAACCCGTTCTATTGAGGAAGACAACATCCGATCCTTCCCGACAGATGGCCATACAAATCCTGCTTTAAGGCCTCCAGAGAAGGAGACACCCATATAGTCCGAATCCTAGACTGGATAGGGTCCCCCAAAGGCCATCCAACCCAACCCCGTTCTATTGAGGAAGACACCATTGGACCTCTCCCAACAGATGGCCATACGAACTCCGCTTAAAGACCTCCAAGGAAGGAGACGCCACTATAGTCCAATTCCTAGCATTGATAGGCCGAATCCTGGTGTAGATAGGGGCTCCCAAAGGCCATCCAGCCCAACCCCATTCTATTAAGGAAGACACCATCCAATCCCTCCCGACAGATGGTCATCCGAACTCTGCTTAAAGGTCTCCAAAGAAGGAGACTTGACTACACTCTGAATCCTAGCTCTGATGGGACTTCCAAAGGACATCCATCTCAACCCCATTCTGTTCCGGAAGACAGCATCTAATCTCTCCTGACAGATGGTCATATGAACTCTGCTTAAAAACCTCCTATAATCCAACACTATAATCTGAATCCTAGATTGGATAGGGTCCCCCAAAGGCTATCCAGCCCAACCCCATTCTATTGAGGAAGACACCAGTAGACCTCTCCTGACAGATGGCCATACAAACCCTGCTTAAAGGCCTCCAGAGAAGGAGACGCCACTATAGTCCGAATCTTAGCACTGATAGGGGTCCCCTAAGGTCATCCAGCCCAACCCCATCCAATTGGGGAAGACACCATTGGACCTCTCCCAACAGATGACCATACAAACTCTGCTGAAAGACCTCCACCAGACAGACTCCAAGGCGGCCTATGTTTCACCAGAGTTGGAAGAAACTCCCAAGGTCATCCAAACCGTCCAATCCTGTTTCTCCCATGAGGTCACAATCTAATCCCTCCTGACAGATGTCCATCCCAGAAAGCAAACCCAACAGGCTCCTAGACAGTCACTAGAGATGGAAGGTTCCCCCAAAGACCATCTGATCCAACCCCATTCCACTAAGGGAGGACACCATTCAATCCCTCCTGACAGATGTCCACCCACCCAGAAACCCATTGGCTGTGGATGGGAGGGATGAACTTAGAACAGACAACACAGCTCCCTTGGCCATTTTGGGAGTGCTTTGCTGGTCCAAGATTGGGACTAGATGACCTTCCTTCCAACTTTAGGGATCCTAAACGGATCACACGTGTAATAATTAATTACACGATTAATGGGATCCCGCGTGTGTCTTGTAGGGCCTGTGGGGCCCAAAGGGACTGCCTCTCCCATCATCCTGGGTTCGAAAAGGCGGGTGCAGATGGGACTTGGGCCTCACGGAGCCTCATCCGCTGCCAAGAGAAGGAGAGGCCTCCTCGTCACCCGGACAAGAGATCGATATCTCATTTCGCCGGCTCCTTTCCCCCCAATAATAACGAAGGGAGAAAACGGCGCTCCATCGATCCCCGGCCAGGCAGGCGAGGAACACTCTTCCTCTCCCCCTCCTTTTCCTCCTTCCCTCCATCCTTCGGCCTTCTAATAAAGGAGGGAAGCCAGGGCACAAATCTATAGGCACAAGGGCCAGAGTCGGCCGAGGGGGACCCCCCAAAACTAGTGAAACTATCCCAAGATTAATGAAAGGGCCCCCAAAGGCCATCTAGTCCAGCCCCAACTCTCCAAAAGAGGACCATTAGAGCTCTTGTTTGAAAACATAGTGGAACAAATGCGGATCTAGCCCTGTGGGTCAATGCTATGGTCAACTTGGGAGTTGTAGTTTGCCAAGGGAACGACACAGAGTGTATGTTATGTGTTTAATTCCCTTTCTTTTGGCCTTGGTTTGAATGCAAATGGCATTGAGGGGAAAAGGGAGCACAACCAGGTGCATAATAATAATAATAATAATAATAATAATAATAATAATAATAATCACCATCATCACCATCATCACCATCATCATTTATTAAGATTATTATTTAATAATAATAATAATAATAATAATAATAATAATAATATTAAGAGATACGTGTTGTTGCGTAACTTTTATGGAGGCACGTTTTAGTGCGTGTTTTTTCTGTGCTTGTAACTTGCCTTGAGCCATGAGGAGAGGTGGGTAAGAAATAATAATAATAATAATAATAATAATAATAATAATAATAATAAGTCATTATTAAGGTAAGATGTCCGACTCTGGGGGTTGGCGCTCATCTCAATTTCTAAGCCAAAGAGCCAGCGTTGTCCATAGACACCTCCAAGCCAATCACAGCATTTCCTATGGCAACGGTGGTCATCCTGTAATAGTAGTAGTAGTAGTAGTAGTAGTAATAATAATAATATCAATAATAATGTTGCTGTTGAGGATATATTATTCTACTAAAGATAAAGGTTTTCCCTTGACATTAAGTCCAGTCGTGTCCGACTCTGGGGGTTGGCGCTCATTTCAGTGTAAGCCAAAGAGCCAGCGTTGTCCGTAGACGCCTCCAAGGTCATGTGGGGTAAATTGACTTCCTTGGGAGTTATAGGTCACCTCCAGAGAAACCATGACCTCCACCAACAATGGACCAGGTCTAAACTTGGCACAGAGAAACCCCAACTGAACATACTGCAGCAGTTTGGGGAAATGGACCTTCTTGTTGGAAGTTGTAGTTCACCTTTATGCAGCAAGCACTGAATCCAGCCAACATCAGATCTGGACCAAACTTGGCACAGAGATCCAACATGGCCAACTGTGCATACAGGCAAGGTTTAGTTGAATGGCCTTGGGTCTGGGAGTCGTAGTTCACCCATTATCCAGGGAGCCCTGAACCCAGACGACGTTACATCTGGGCCACATAGATCCAACATGATCAACTGTGCATACAGGTCTGGTTTGGGGGCGATTGTCCTTGGCTCTGGGAGTTGTAGTTCACCCTTATTCAGACAGCACTGAATGCAGCCGATGTCGGATCTGGACCAAACCTGGCACACAGACCCAACATGGCCATCTGTGCATACAGGCAGGGTTTGGGGTTGAATGGCCTTGGATCTGGGAGTTTTAGTTCACTCATCCAGACAGCACTGAATGCAGCCGATATCGGATCTGGACCAAACCTGACACACAGACCCAACATGGCCAACTGTGCATACAGGCAGGGTTTGGGGGCGATTGTCCTTGGCTCTAGGAGTTGTAGTTCACTCTTATCCAGACAGCACTGAATGCAGCTGACGTCGGATCTGGACCAAACCTGGCACACAGACCCAACATGGCCAACTTTGAATACTGGCGGGGTTTGGGGAGACT